TAGCGTCTCGACCAATCTGACACACTAATTTTTATTTGATTTAACAAATCAATTATTCATTAGATTAACAAATCGTCACAGTCCCCTCACTCAATAAACTGGATGCCAGGATTTCTGCAAACACCAGGCCCCCTGGTCCCCATGACAACTAATCATGATATCACTGGTTTTATGACACCCGATACCGAAATAAAGTGGGGGCCAAAATTGAGCCTTGCGGAAGACCACAAGGGAGAGAAACCGTGGAAGAGAAAAATTGTCCTAGCCTCACCACATATTTCCTGTCAGATAAAAATGACTGGAACCACTTTAGAACTGTGCCAGAGAGGCCCACCCAAGATTCTAGTCTATTGATTCATATAGAATGGTTAATGGTGTCAAAAGCAGCTGATAAATCTAAAAGAACGAGGACCACAGAGTCACCCGTATCAGTGGCTAAAAAGATGTCGTTTAACACTCTCAAAAGGGCAGATTCAGTGCTGTGGGCAGCCTTGAAACCAGATTGAAAGTGCTCAAACAGACTATTTACAGCAAGAAAAGATTTGTTGGAAAAACACAATCTTTTCCAAAACCTTGAAAATAAATGGTAAAACAGAGATGGGGCGATCATTTTTTAAAACAGACCGATCAAGGGAAGGCTTCTTGAGGAGAGGTGTGACAGTGGCCACTTTCAGATGAGCAGGAACCACACCAGTTGAAAGACACTTATTAAAAAAGGACACTAGGCCCAGCCCAACTGAATCAACAATATGTTTTAAAAATCTAAGGTGGATAACATCATATGAAGGAGAGGATGGTTTCAGCTTGGCAATATTGTCTTTGAGTGACTGAAGGTTGATAATCATCGGTGTAATTGTTATGAATGTGACAGCATAACCCACATCGACCCACCCGTTCACACACACTCGGCTCTTATCATACCAGACCGATGACAATAATGGCAAAAAATGAGAGGACGCACACCTCTTTTCTGTTTCTTCATCCTAATCCCATCCCTCCCTCCCTCCTTTTCACTATTTCAGTGTTTTTGTGAAATTGGTCAAACTGGTTTCTCTGCGTCTGTGTCACCTTATGTAAAACATCAGAGGGCTTTATGGAACCATGTTTAATTAATATTAATATGTCCATATGTGTGCATGAGTGAATGCGTTTGTTATTTGGGTGTGAAGGTTCAAAAGGTAAGATATGCGCAATATAGGTATAGCTTTATAGGTTATATGTGCTTTAATATACACCATTTAATACGACAAAATGTTGAAAAATAATGCAGAAATATGTGAAATGGGACACACCTATTTTTTATGATTTTTGTGCGGTGACACTATAGTGGAGCTGAAATAACATACTTCACCTTTAAAAAGAATTAAAAAGTGAATTAGATAACATAACAAAACAACAACAATAATTGATATCAATGGAAAAAAAAGTTTTCAGATGATATAAAACAAAAATTGTTTACCCTATTCAAGAACTGGTACTAATAAAAAAAACAGACTAATAATAATAATAATAATCTGTATTATTATTATTATTTTTAATAATAATATTAATACAATTACATTATGAACAGAAATTTCAATAATAATAATCTGTTTAAAAATCTGTTTAACAAAAACACATTTATTATTATTATCATCATCATTAAAATTATATCATGAGTAGTAGTAGTATTTATAAGGCTTCAGAAATGGCAATGATAATAATAATAATAAAAATATGCAATTTTTAAGGCTTATATTCTTGTTGAACAGATTTGTAATTCCTCTCAGGCTGCAGAAATGTATTCATTGCCATGGCTTTTGTATGAATTAATTGCTTTTTGTGATTCACGGATTTTGAGCTGATTCTGATGCTCGTGATTCATGATGATTTGTTTGTTCTTGGAGTATTTCTTGTTCAGTAACAGAAGGAAGAGATCCACTTTCCTGGACTGTAAGTGTCATGAGTGTTCATCAGCCTGTCGCCTCCTCAGTAATGAAGGAGTGTCAACACACGCTTAAATAAGAGCTGTGCAGGTGCTTCAGTGTCAAGCATTCATCGAAGTCATCAGCGCAAACACGAGAAACTGCACTGGCCAGACGACTCGAACACACAGGTAACGGTGATCAACAGCTCCTATATTTATTCAATATATGAATATACTGAAAATATATAGTATATGGCACCATTATTGCATTAGGGCAAGACACAATGGCTCAAATTAATTGCAAACATTATAGTTTACAAGTTTTCTGATATGTTATATTGAAGTATGCATTATCTAGTTAAATATGCACTAATTTGCATACATTTCCAGAGAATTAATCTGAACATTGGACAAAGCTGATAAAATTGTGGTTTCATTTGGTTGATATATTCGAGTCAAATGTTTTTATAGAGTGGATTTTGGATATCTCTTTTTATCATTCCATAAATCAGAAAATACTATCAACAGAAAAAAATACAATTTTAACATGTTTTTAGGAATATGTTTCATAAAACAAGGCGAATGATGAACAAACTCTCTTATATATATATATGTATAGCTATATATATCAAAACTCTAATTTTTTCAGTGTTTAGGTCATTTGAAGCCTTTCCAACATTCTTTCTAACATAGGCTACTTTCTAGAAAACCGACTAAGCTTAGTTAAACTTTAAAACAGGCTAATTTGAAACTTCATTCAACTTTAATCCATATATTTGTATCTATGCATTTATATTTAAATATGCATGACTTTGAGACCTATTTATTGATTATTTAATAATCAAAGTTATTATATGCTCTTAAAAATAAAGGTTCTTCATTGGCATTGATGGTTTGATGAACCCAAAATGGTTCTTCTATGGCGTCACTTCTTTGAAACTTTTACTTTTAAGAATGCACTCTTAAAAATAAAGGTTCTTTATTGACATTCATGGTTGCATGAAGAACTATGCAACTAAAATCCATGGAACCTTTCCACTGGATGCCGTGGCAGCTGGTTTAAAACGTTCTAGGTAGGGCGCCACGTCAAACAATTTTAGCATACATCTCAGTATGATTTAACAAAAGGAAAAATATTAAGACTTGAAACGTTTTAAATAAAGATAATTGTTTTACCAAGTTCAAGATTAAGTTTGAGGATGATTCTCGCAAAACTGTATTTTCTACAAGAATTTTTCAAGGTAAATTAAAAGATTTTTAAATGTTCATAATTCACAATTTAGGTATACAGTGCAACAGCAAAAACTGTGAGGAAAAAATAAATGTCACATTTGGTTAGAACATTTTCTATAACTTCAAGTGAAGCTGCAATACCAAACAGGCACGGAGATGCCAACAGACCACTATACCGCTCGCCTTAAAGGGTCATGAAAACCCTAAACTACATTCTTTTTTTAGATTTTAACAGATTTATGTGTGTTGAACACCATTTAAGACAATATTAGCAGCTGTTAGCTTTAATTGAAGGAAACAAATGGCTAATTTTGAGTTTTTTTCTTTTGTCTTCAGGGTTTAAAATCGTCATAGAGGCGACGTCACAGGTTGTGACGTGGCAAACGACTGTAGGCTTGTTCGAGATGCATCGGCGTTGCGCAGACCGATCGGCGTATGACATCAAAGTACCGGCGATCTCACGGCAATTCGTACATATTTTACGAGGTGGCTAATTCGTACAAATTCGTACGACCTCACTCGTACAAATTCATACGATTTGTGCTAAATCGTACGTATTTTACGAGTTGCACAATTTGTATGAATTTGTACGAATTACCTACACCTAACCCCGCCCCTAAACCTACCCATCACTGGGGTCTAGACAAATCGTACAAAATTATACGAGTAAGGTCGTACGAATTAGCGACCTTATAAAATACGTACAAATTGGTCATGAGATAGCATTGAAATTTGCCCATTTGCCATGTGCAACACCACATTTTGCAAGAAGTTTTATTAAAATAAACAGGGTGAAAAGATGTTGAGGCTCATGATTATCATGATTATGGTTAAATAAGATTAAATAAGAATGTTTTAATTTTGTGTCGCTAGACGTTTGCGTCACTGAAGATAAATTAAATCTTTCTTTGGTCTGCGACTTGCAAGTGGTCTTTTAATTCTGCTAAACGTATTTACTAAAACTAAAACTGAAACTAAACAATTTAGTTTTTATAAATAAAAACTAAATAGAAATGTGTTCAGAAAATGAAAACTAAACTAGAACTAACAAAAATATTAATAATAAAAATGAAACTCAATTTTATAGAAAGCGATATTAAAATAAAACGAATTTGAAAATGCAAAACTAATAACCTTGTCATGGAATGCAATAAATAACCAAAATGTGAAATTGCAGACTATTTAATAATAATAATAACAATAATAATAATAAATATAGTTGCAAGCAGCAATTACGGGGCCAAGCAGTACAGAAGCAAGCATCAGACCAACTGCAGTAATGAGTAATTAAAACCATTTTAAGATGATTTTAGTCAAAATGGCTGAAAAATCATAAATACAACCACTAGTAATAAGATTGATTGGCTTATGACTTTTGACCAACAGGTGGCGCTGTTATCAAATATATGTGGCTTGGTCAGTGTGAGGTGACAATGGCACACACAAAGTTTAGTGTCAATATGTCAAAGCTTTGCAGAGATACAGTCTCAGAGTCATTTTGGCATCATGCCTTTGTAGCGGCGCTATACAAAAACTATCGACACGAAATCCATAACTTTTGCCAGCATGGTCTGAAGATGATCGGAGTCAAATTTGGTGAAAATCAGACCAACGGTCTAGGAGGAGTTCGAAAAAGTAGATTTTCAACATACATCAAAATGGCGGACAGGAAGTTTGGCCAACTATGGCATAATTGGAATCTATGTTGTCAGCATGACCCAAGGAATGTTTTGAGACCAGTTTGATTACAATAGGCTAATGTAATGAAAAGTTATAAGCATTTTGGGAAATTTCATTATTAAAGACAATGTCTGCGTTCGAAACCGCATACTCAATGAGTAGGTACTTAAGTTTACGTATGATGAGGAAAGCACTAGTGCTGGTCCAGGATGATGTCATGCACTTTAATCCAGCTGCCCGCAGGTTCTTATTCAGGTGTGAGTGTAAGAGGCGTCTTTTGTGGAAGAACTATGATAATGACTCGACATTCGGTGTGGGAGGTGATGCATGACATTTCAATGACATTTCAATGAGGAAACATAACAGTAGAAGACTTGTTTTAGTATATGCGCACCAGCAATTTAAGAGTTTGGATGCATCTGCTGATTCTTTATTATGATGATTTTCCATATGTTAATAATAGTAAAGTGAAATGATGAAGGTGCATCCTAGGAACACGTCCTTCTCTGTCTCTAATTTCAATATTGTAAAGAAATCATCTGTTGGCACAACTGTATTTGATCGATTGCATTTATCTACAAAATTAAATTTAAACAGCATGTAAGTAGAAACCTTTGGATCAAAAGATTGTTAAAATCTTGATGAACTTCATTCAAGCCAAAGTTTTCTCTGCTAGTGTAGGTTAACCAAGTATTTTATGACTCAAAATCAAATCTAATGTGAACCTGGAATTAAATACAAAGATGAGGAATTTAAATAAATAATTAAATATATTTATTTTACATTTACATTTGCTCATTTGGCAGACACTTTTATCCAAAATTACAAAGCTCATTTATATTTTATTTATTTATTTATGTTTATTTATTTGTTTGTTTGTTTGTTATTACTAAGGATGCAAAATTTTAATAAATATTTGAAAACATTTATTGATGTTTTAGAATGATATTTATTTATCAATCTAATATTTTTTTTTGTATTTTATTTATTTGAATTTTATTCAAATAATTTATGTATTTATTTATTAGAATTGTATTTATTGCATTTTTATTTATTCAGTTTTATATTTATTTATAAAAGTTTCATAATATGCACATACGCGCATAATTTTTTTAATTGATTAAAATATTAGAATTAGAATATATATTTATTAATTTTATTTAATATTTATATTTTTTATTGATTGATTGAAAGAGCATTTAACATATTTTTTCTCTCTCAATATTTCAGCCTGCTTGCAGAAATGTCTAGCTCTAACACTAACACCACTGGAGGTCCCAGTGCCAGCGCTCCTGCTGCTGCGACCTCGGCTGCTTCAGGTGAGGAGGAAGAGGATGAGGGAGACTCTAGTGCAGTTCATTTGCATGAAAAATAGTCCACTATTGTTGGGAAAACATTGAGATTTGATGCTTTAAGGGATGTGTAAACATTTCCTCTCTTATTCACAGAAACGCTTCTGACGGTTCACTCCGTCGACCTCCTGAAATCCAAGGATGGGCCGAACCGGCGCGAGCATCGCACAGAAGCTTACTTTAGCGACAAGCTGATCGTCCGCAGAGGACAGACCTTCCAGATGTGGATCGAGTTCTCGAGACCCTTCAACCCCAAATCTGACCGTCTGCAGCTGCAGCTGAAGTTAGGTGAGTGAGCCACGTTCACAAAACCTATTTGACAACAGACATTATTTTTTGGTTTCATGAGGTGCTCAGAAATGACTTATTTTATTTCAGCTGGTTGCCAATGCAGCATTTCTCATTTTTGTTATGTTTAACTTGCTGTACCAAAATAACTAAAGCTAAAACTGAAATAAAAATTTAAATAATAAATAAAATAGTAAATTTAAATAATATTTTAATTAAATAATAACAAAATAACACATTTTTAAAAATAATCAAAATGATAAAATTACTAAAACTTTAAAGAAAATAAAAATAAACAATATAAAAACGAATTCAAGTTTGCAATAGTAATTTTATAATAGTATCAAATTGAGATACTATTATAAACATTATAATAATATCTCAGTTATAGTAAAATAACCCCCAATTAATGTCTGAAAAAGCAGAATCAGAATCGAAATCAGAGTGAAATCAAAATCAGAAATAATTTCAGTATCAGAAGAACAACCTCGAAATCAATAGTCAGTCCATCAATAATAAAAAAAAAACTTAAGGTGCATTTAAAATGAATTGATCTTATTTTAACTGGTGTTGGATATCTGTGTAAACTCATAAAACATAATCATGCAGTGGCTATGGAAATGAAAACATGTTTTTCATCCAGAGTCAGATGCATTAGCATTGTTTGAATGACAAATCAGTGTGTGACAGAGAGAGAAAGATGCTCAGACATTCTGACGGTTAGTTCAATTATATTGCCCTTTATTTGGGAAAGAAAAACTGACAGATGAATCTATTCATTCGTGATGGATGTGAGTCATAAAGTGCTTGTGATTATGTGACCTAATCCGTCTAATCCAGCTGCTCCTAAAATCTCTTTTCTTAATGGCTCTCCAGCTGAGTCACTGACAGATAATTAGATAAAAGCTAAATCATTAAGACGGTGTTCGTCTGACAGTAATGTTTCCATGTCTGGGTTGTGTTTTTGGCACAGAGCCGATCTTCAGCAGAAGTACTGGGATTCACATCTCTGTCCCGTTAGTGGACGTCCTGGAAGACGGCCGCTGGGAGATGAAGATCGTGGAGCAGAAAGACAAACGCGTGCGGCTGGCGGTCAACACTCTTCCCACCGCCTCCATCGGCCGTTACAAGGTGACCGTGGAGTCTTTCTCACCGAAGGGCAAGCTGCTGTTCCCCTGCTCCCTGAACGACGTGTACATGCTCTTCAACCCCTGGTGTGAAGGTACGGAGTCAGCGGAAGACACTCATCTTTTCCTCATTTGCTTTAATGAAGTAACACTACATTTAATCTGTCTTTCCTCAGATGATCCTGTGTATCTGGATAATGAAGCGGAGAGGAAAGAGTATGTTCTGAATAGCATGGGCAAAGTTTACTACGGAACCGAGCAGCAAATTGGAACCAGAACATGGAATTTTGCTCAGGTGTGGAAACACACAATTCCGACATTCCGACTGTTATTATTATAGTTTGAAAAGGATTATTATTATTATTGTGCTATTCTTTTATCAATTTGAACAGATTCTATTATTATCTATAATTCTGTTGTTGCGATTATTACATTTTTTTATTAATTTATTAATTACATTTTTAAATTATTATTATTATGCATTTTTATTTATTATTATTATTATTATCTCCATTAATATTATTAATTTGCAATTGTTTTATACATTTGAAAATTATTCTTATCATCATCATCATTGTCGTCATGCAATTATTTTTTCAGTTTGAACAGATTTATTATTATCTATAATAACAATAAAAAAATCATAATAATGGAAATAACAAATAATAATAGTAACAACAACAACAACAATAATCAAAATGATAAAGAAGCAAAACAGCAACAATAAAAATAAACAATTGCAAATTAACAACAATAATATTAATAATGAAATTATTATTATTATTAACATAATTAAATATTAGTATTAATATTATTATATATTATGCAATTGTTTTATCAGTTTCATTCAAATTCCAGTATTATTCTACAATTATTATTATTATTATTTCCTATCATTATTATCAATTCCATTATTATGATTTGTGTTATTTTGCATTCGTTTTATCAGTTTGAACAGGATATCCTGGAGGCGTGTCTGTTCCTGTTGGAGAGAGGTCAGGTTGCTAGGACCGAATGGAGAGATCCAGTGATCGTGTCCAGAATGGTATCCGCTCTGGTGAGTCACGTTCACAAGACGTCGACATGCATTCATAAGAAATCATGAAGATGACATGGATTTGAGCAGGTGAATTACAGTTGCCAGCATGTGGTAGTTTTAAGTTCATACAGGACACAAAACAACATGTACTGTCTTTTTCAACATTTACTGTGAGGAACAGAAAAGTATAAAGCGTGCAATTAAAGAGCTGAAAAGCACCTGTTTTGAAAGGCTTTTCTGTTCTTCTGGGACAGGTGAACTCCAACGATGACTACGGTGTTCTGATGGGTAACTGGAAAGACAGCTATGAGGGCGGGACGTCTCCCACCGCCTGGAGCGGGAGCGGCGACATCCTGAGACAGTACTACAAAAGTTCAGGGAAGCCCGTCAAATTCGCCCAGTGCTGGGTTTTCGCGGGAGTCACCAATTCCGGTACGTTTGGATGTCTCTCTTTATCACTCTAGTGAACATTTATTTTGACCATGTTTTTAGAAATAAAATGTTATATAAATACATTTCTCTCTCAGTGTTGAGATGTCTCGGTATTCCCACCCGCTGTGTGACCAACTTCAGCTCGGCTCACGACACGGACCTTTCCTTGACCACAGACATTTATATTGATGAGAAACTGGAAATCATCAAAGACAAGACCAGCGATTCTGTATGGTACGAAATAAACAACAACCATCACCTCTTAAGTTCCTTTTATTGTCATTAATATCATCAGTGTCACGTTTCTGTTATACTTAGACTCCACCGATCAATAAAACATATGCTTGGAACATTTTTAATTAAATTTGGTTGGTAAGTGAGCTGACAGTTCTCAAATACAGCCATCATTACTGACACTTTACATTAATATGGTACTAGGATTATTATATTCAACTAAAAGTAAAACCATAAATACATTCATCTCTTGAAATACAATAAATGTTGACAAAATAACCTACTGCAACTATGCTTTATTTCATATATATATAAATATATAAATGTATACATATAATCGTTGCAGTATTATTTTACCAAAATAAGAGGGATCATACAAATTGCATGTTAGTTTTTATTTAGTACTGACCCGAATAAGATATTTCACATAAAAGACGTTTACGTATAGTCCACAAGAGAAAATAATAGTTGAATTTATAAAAATTACCCCGTTCAAAAGTTTACATGCTTGTTTCTTATTACTGTGTTGTTACCTGGGTGATCCACAGCTATTTATTTTTTTAATTTTATTTTTTTTGTGATAGTTGTTCATGAGTCCATTGTTTGTCCTGTATCAGTTATTTAATTTAAATATTTTGTATATTTGATTTTTGATTATTTCATATTTAATCATTTTCGCAACACAAAATGACAGAAATCAGTTGAAAAAAACCTGCCCTGCAACCTGCCCTAATAATATTTATTTTGAGGTTGATCATCACTTTTTTTTAAATTTTTTTTATAAAGTTAAAAGTGCCTCATTTCACTGTTTATTTGTAAAAAAATAAAATAAAATTCAGGCCTAGAACATGGCCTGAATTTTATTTTATTTTTTTACAAATAAACAGTGAAATGAGGCACTTTAACTTTATAAAAAAAATTAAAAAAAAAAGTGATGATCAACCTTGTGGAGAAGAACTCCATCGGTCAGAGCATCAGTACTAAAGCTGTGGGATCTGACGTGCGTGTGGACATCACACAACTCTACAAATACCCAGAAGGTAACAAAACAAATGCATCTGGTCCAAAACCTAGAGCTGCCTTCCTAGAAACATTTTAAGGCATCATAGACAGGCTCCCAATGGGTATTGTTCCGTATTTTCATGCATATTTGATGATGATGATAATAATAATAATTGTTTAGCAAGCAACTTTCAAGAGAGTGTTATTTTAGTATCACTTATAAATACTATATATATATATATATATATATATTTTTTTTTTTTTTTTTTTTTTTTTTTTTTGAAATTGTAGTTATAGTAATTTTAGTCATTCATAACTAGCTGTTTTTTTTCAGTTAACGTTTATTTCAAGTAACAAAAATGTTTTTAATGTTTTAGTTAAGGATAAGTATAGTAACAAAAAATTCACAGAATTCATGACAAAATATAAAAGTCATAAAATACCTTTATGAAAATTAATCATGGTTTTACTACAAATAAAGCCAAAAAAACATGGTTACTATAGTTAAAAGTGACGTGACATGTGGCCAAGTATGGTGACCCATACTTGGAATTAGTGCTCTGCCCATCCAAAGTGCACACACAGCAGTGAACACACACCCGGAGCAGTGGCCAGCCATTTATGCTGCGGCGTCCGGGGAGCAGCTGGGGGGTTCAGTGCCTTGCTCAAGGGCACCTCAGTCGTGGTATTGAAGGTGGAAGAGAGCACTCACTCCCCCCACCTACAATCCCTGCCGGCACGAGACTCGAACCTGCAACCTTTGGGTTACGAGTCCGACTCTCTAACCATTAGGCCACGACTTCCCCACATGGTAACCACAAATTAACCATAGTTTAACCATGGTATTTGTAATAAAACTGTGGTTATACCAATGGTAATCAGTGCACCAAAAAACATGGTTACTACACTTTTACTATAATAAAACCATGGTTAATTTTCATAAGGGTAGGAAACTGAAAATTGGAAAACATTGGAAGCAGCAATTTATATTGATAACTTTGAGTTGGATTCTTATGTCAGCAACACGCTAGGGTTTGGAATAATAGGGTTGGAGTTAATACTCCAAACCTCACACTCCTCTTTACTGTCTGATCATGTCCGTCAGGTTCAGAGGAGGAGCGCATTGCTGTGGAAAGGGCCAGTCGCTTCGGCTCCAAACCGACTTTGTATCCGTCCCCCACCGGCAACGACGTGAGTGTTGAGATCGTCATGGATGGGACAGGGCCTTGTATCGGTGGAGACGCCAAACTCTCCATCATCCTGAAGAACAAAAGTTCAAATCAGCGCACTGCCAGTCTTCTATATGAGGTGATGGTCATGTACTACACTGGAGTGCTGAAATCCACTGTGAAGAAGGACCGGATTCCTGTCACCCTCAAACCGCAAGAGAGTGAGTGGAGCTGTTAATTAGCAGCTGCATTTGTCGAAAATCACTTAATGACGAGAGCTGCTTGCAGTTGGTGTTGGTGATGGTGTTCAGCGAGCTGCAAGCAAAAGAAGACTGGAGTACTGTGCACAATGACCATGAAATATTTAAATATAATTGTTTTATCACTGTCATTAATGCCATGTTCCCTTGTCTCCCTACAGCCAAGACTATTCCTTGGACTTTGCTGTATAAGGAGTACATGAAACATCTGGTGGACCAGGGCGCTCTGATGCTCGCGGTCACCGGACGAGTCAATGAGACCCGACAGATTCTGGCCACACAGTTCAACTTCAGACTGCGCACACCAGACCTCATCATCACTGTACGTCAATCATCCACTAGTCTATTCGGGACGTTTAACAAGCACAACACTTTTACATCTTTCTTACTATCAAATCTCATTCTTGGTTTTGCACAGTGATGCTCAACCTGGTGCAATGCATCTAAATGTGCAATATTTGAATTGCACACGAGATTTGAGAATTAACGGTCCCTAATTTAAAACATCTATGTCCATTGATTGTGTTTTTACTGTTTCAGGCTCTAGGGGATGCTGTGGTGGGTAAAGAGTTGACAGTCAAAATCACGTTCCAGAACCCGCTGTCACAAGTGTTGAGGAACGTTTTGTTCCGTATAGAGGGATTGGGAATGCAGAGCATTAGGAAGATCGCATATGGGTAAGACTTTCAGTATTTAAGAGCATTCTGAGGTGCGACATGTTCATGCACTTTAAATTTGCTTCATGTGTATGAGCTGTACTACATTAAATATGATAAACTCTATTTAAAGAGTGGAAATCTTCCAGAAAGTTTATAATCTATATGTGTCTCTCAGTGATGTGGATAAGCTTGCGATGGTTACACTGACGGAGAAGTTTGTTCCCACCGTCGCCGGCTCTCAAAAGCTCCTGGCATCGATGGACTGCCGTCTGCTCACTCAAGTGCACGGAGTCGCTGATATTGTGGTCAAACCAAAGTAAAAAAGCACTGTCATTGTAAAGCTTTCTAATGCTCTCAGTTGTCTTGAAGATATAAGAATATCTTCAAGATGAAATGGTCATTTAGAGTTAAAAACAATGAAGTACTTTCATATGAAACTGATGTATGTCAACAATAAACATCCTTCATGTTTTAGTTATATCGTATCTGTCTGGGTTTGTTTGTGTGTTGATTTCAAATATCGACAGTGTTTCTCAGAAATTGTTTACTGCACCTTTAATGTGTAAATAGTGTTGTGTTGGTTGTTTACTTCCTTTTTTGACTAGGGAAGTGGTAAATATTGAGTTCATATCAGAAATATTATAGTTTTAATGTACAAATAATCACTGTGTAAATAGTTGGCTTTGTAGCTTGCACATAGTAAATTATGCAAAGGGAAGATGTAGCAAATACATAATTTATGGTAATGCTAATTTCATAAATAGAACTTTATGAGTCACAAATGCAAATAATCAAATATATGGCACAGAATAAACATGTCCACAAGTGTTTCGTACAAGTGTAAAACAATATAGGCATTTGAAAAATAAAATAGGCCTAAATAAATAAATAAAAATGAAATCAAATAAACGATGAAAGCATAAAAGTAATTGTAAATAGTTGGCTTTGTAGCTTGCACATAGTAAATTATGCAAAGGGAAGATGTAGCAAATACATAATTTATGGTAATGCTAATTTCATGAATAGAACTTTATGAGTCACAAATGCAAATAATCAAATATATGGCACAGAATAAACATGTCCACAAGTGTTTCGTACAAGTGTAAAACAATATAGGCATTTGAAAAATAAAATAGGCCTAAATAAATAAATAAAAATGAAATCAAATAAACGATGAAAGCATAAAAGTAAAAAGTTTCCAAGACAATGTTTATGTGACCTTAATATAATAATAATAAAAATATATGTTAGTTTTATTCAATGTACATGTCACGACAATGAAGCGCAAATGTCTGCCATTTAAATTTCAGCTGTTATTTTGACGTTCCATCGGAGGAGAATCTGCTTTCCAGATGAAGCGATCTTTAATAGACATCTTGCAGACATACGTGTGCTATCTGGCATACTTTTGTGCTCATAAAAATAAAAATAACTTTATTCAACAATTCTTCTCCCCCGAGTTATCATCTACCACCATTATCGAGAGCACCACGACAAATGTGGTTGAACCACTGATGTCGCATGGACCATTTTAACGATGTTCTGGGCCTTGAACTTGATAGTTCCCTTGCAGTCTATGCAGGGTCAGAAAGCTCTCGGATTTCATCAAACATATCTTAATTTGTGTTCCGAAGATGAACGGAGGTCTTACAGGTTTGGAACGACATGAGGGTGAGTAATTAATGACAGCATTTTCATTTTTGAGTGAACTGTCCCTTTAAGATGTTTATGATTTAGAATGTATGTAAAACTGACATCTTAGAGATGTCTATCAGTTGTTTGTACACAGCAGATGCTTTCCAGATGAAGCGATCTTTAACAGACATCTTGCAGATGTGCGTGTGCTATCTGGGACTCTGACTCTGACTGACTGTCTCTTTCTTAGCTCTGGATGCTGTGGGGCTTGTGGATACAGTAGTGATAAGAGAAACGAACCTCTTCGAAGCTTTGAATCAATTGAACCAATTTAACCAATTGTTATTTTTACAAAGACGTGGTAATAAGGCTTCATACTAGTAAATAATGATATGTTGCCCAATTGAACTAATTTCATAATTAATTAACTTTACATACTGAACAGAACTGAATCAACACTGAGCTATCTTTAACTGAACAATGATAGGCCCATTATTTTATTTTTGGCAGTTACACTAAGTGGAAAAAGTGATATATCCTAGTTACACTAAGTGCAAATAATGATACATTTTGTTTACACTTAAATAGCAGTATTTTCTTTAGCAATGTGTAAATAGTAGTTAGGTGGCAGATATTTGTACTTAAGTACTGTAGTACATTATAAAACAGTATGTAATAACACTGATTGTAAATTCATATTTATTAGTATTATTAAATGGATAAGCCCTTCCTACACCTATGGCTAACCATACACAATAACACTGTATTATTAATGAGGTGTTTTATTTCCACTTTTCAAATATTTCCTTTATTTTTATTGAATATAAATGCCTTTCCGATCTGATATGTGATGGGAAAAGAAGAACAAGTTTGGCAAAAGGTGGATTCGAACTCGGGTCGATCGCGTCAATCACTTCGCGTTTCACTTCGAGTATTCCATGCACACAGAAAATTTGCATACTGTGCACAGTATACATACAGGATACTGCAGAAAAAGTAAGAGTAGTATGATAGTATGGCATTTAGAACACAGCGATTGTCAGTCTGAAACGCGCTCTGAACCCAAATGATTCGAGAAGGTTTCGAAGCTTTCCAACAAGGCTTCGAAAGCTATTGCAGAGATGAAGGGTGTTGTGTTTGTGGGCCATACACCCAATAGGTGGCAATAATGCCCATTTTGTATTTTAAGCTCTGCTGTAAACGAATGCAGCAGCAGCAGCTGATATTTTTTGATATAGAGTTCATGCATGTTTAATGAATAAAAATGAACATAAATGTCCTTAAAATTAAACATCAGCAGATGCACAGATTTGTTTTAGTCAAAATAAATATAATGTGATTGCAGATTCAGACTGCAATGTTTATATGTACACCAAATGTGATTTAGTGTCAGTATTACCCAGAGCTACTATACGTGCCATGCATTCCTGTCAGACATACTAAGCATGGCTCAATGGTATGTTTTGCTATTTTGACATATCAAAAAATTGTTTCTTAATTTTTGCCTGCCAGCAGCAGTTTTTATTCTTTAAAATATTTTCTTTAATAGGGACGGCAGTCGTTATATAAATTTAAAGTCACTGTAGTTCAGTGTTTCTTAGGAGATGGAAAAGGTTTCAGTGTGTGTGTGACAGATGGGACGGATTCAGTCTGGAGCGACAGAGATCAGCTCTTTGAACAGAGATCCAGAAACACAGGGCTCAGCCTCAGTTTACTCTTTTACACTGATGCTTAAGAGGGTGTGTATGACGGTCATGGAGCCACCGATCAAATCTTCACAGAGTCTCCGGGTTCAGACTGTAATGCTGAAGAAGAGCAGACGCCACTTAAGACGTGCTCAGTGAAGAGAAATGAAAAGAGATGAAAAGAGAAACCAGAGCTGATGATGACGACGACGACGACGATGTTTTTATTCCAACAGGTAATTTTCTTCCTTTAATCTTTGTAGATTTTCATTATATGTCTGCCATGTCAATGTTACAAGAAAGACAGTTTTAAAGTCATCTTTTTATTGTTCTTTGTCATCTGTGTGCAAAAGTATGTCTTTTAATAACTATTAATGCTAGTTTGATTATATGCCATTTATTTCTTGCTTGCATTTTGAGGAAAACTTTATTTCTCATCTTCAAACAATGTGCAAATTGAAAGCTATACGACAAATATAAATGTATGAATACACTAGTGATGAAAGGTCAGTGAACCTGGATTAGGCACTTTTGGGGGCAGTGACAATAATGATGATTCTTGGTCTTGAAAAACAGTTATTTTTAATTGTATAATAAACATGACAGAATTTACCTCATGCTTGTAAAATAGAAACTTCAGATTTCTTGCTTTCTGCAAAAAAGAAAAAAAAGAAGTTGCTTTCCATTTCAATTTGCTTTACATTTTTCACAATGAAATTCATTGTTGACTATTTTCCTGATCAGTTTTTATTTGTAATTGCAGTAAGGTTATTTGAAACCATAACCGTTCTGCAGGGCCATGGACTGTTGACTATTTAATTTTATGTAATTTGTGCATTTAATTTGATGCTTATTTAATATTTATTGATATAACATTTCAAAATTCACACAAGTCAGTTGTAAACTGCATTTAGTACTGTCCTAAAATTGCAGACTTTGTATCTGTTCCCCACCGACAATGTCGTGAACATTGAGATCGTCATGGACCTTGTAACTCTCCACCGTCTTGAAGAACAATAGGTCATAAGAGCGCACGGGCCAGTCTGTTGTATGAGGTGATGGTCATGTACTACACTGGAGTGCTAAAAGTCACCTTGAAAAAGGACTGGATTCCTGTCGACCTCAAACCGCAAAAGAGTGAGTGGAGTTTGACTATTAAACAGTCCCACCAGAGACTTTTTTTTATGGTTATTATGTCCCAAAATGTCTGAATTAGTAGCTGCATTTGTCAAAAATCACTTGATGATGAGGCCTGGGATTCATGGATATTCATTAGCTTATGTTGCATCTGTTTTCCATAAACTTAGGGGGGTTTTTAGAGGGAAAAATGCACAAAACAATCAAGCTATTGCATATAATGTTTGAAGAATTGGTTGAATTTGCATTCATTTTTGAAGTCAGTGGCCCAAAATTTAGTTGCTTGCATTATGATTAGAAATGATGGCAATGATGGATGAATGAACGCAAGGTTGATGGTGAATAGATATTCATATTGCAGAATTGAAAAAGATGTGTTGAGAAAACGTTTTTTTTCGTCTTCTTTTTTTACATATGCAAAAAAAAATAAACAAATTAATGGTGATTAATATGTCACTCTTATGTGCTTGGAGCAAATAGTGAGACTGGAAAACCAGTAGTGAAAAATGTATGTTAAAAATGTAAGTTAGTTACAACTAATGTAAGTCCAATACAACTGTTGTTTTAAATCGGAACAGGCACTATGCAAAATGACCAACAAACATTTCTCATAATGGTTTTATCATTGTCATTAATGCCATGTTCCCTTGTCTCTCTTCAGCAAAGACTATTTGTTGGACTCTGAGTATAAGGAGTACATAAACCCTCTGATGGACCAGGGCGCTCTCAGTCAGACCAAACAGATTCTGGCCACACAGGTCAACTTCAGACTGCGCACACCAGACCTCATCATTACTGTACATCAATGATACACAGTCTTTTTGGATGTGTAACAAGTAGTAACACAAAACATATTTTAGGGATGCACGATATTAGATTTTTGCCGATATCCGATATGCCGATATTTTTCAACTAATTTTGGCCGATACCGATATATTTCCTTTTGTTTGGAAACAATGCCAAGTCTCTCC